CCAAAGACAAACAAAGAATCCTGAGAGCAGCTCATGAAAAACAAGAAGTCACATACAGAGGAGAAACAATAAGACTAAGCTCAGATTATTCGGCAGAAACGATGCAGGTAAGAAGGCAATGGAATGACGTATGTAAAAGCTTGACAGAAAAAAAACTGCCAGCCAAAAATAATATATCCTGCAAAACTCTCATTCAAATATGATGGTGAAATTAGGACATTTCCAGAAAAACGGAAATTAAGGGAATATGTAAAAACAAAACCAAACTTACAAGATTTATTAAAGGGAGTTGTTCGATCTGAGAACAAATAACATCAGCTCACGGGCTGAATCTAGGAGGCAGGATCACACCAGCCAGATACCAATCTAGGAAATGAACTCTCAAAACCAAAAGAAATACAACAGGGAATCAAAGAAATTAATCTGCAAATGACAACAACATTAGAACAATTAAAGAGGGAATACACATGGTAGGTATAGAACCTTCTAATGGAGAGGAAAGCAAGGTGATACCAAGTAACAATAGACTGCTTCAAACTTAGGAAGATAAGGGTAAATTTCACGGTAACCACAAAGAAAGTCAACAAACTTACTCATCAAAATAAAGAGACAAGAAAATGTTTACACACACACACACAAAAGATGCACTGCACTGGGCAGATCTGCTGCAAAAGACCTCTTTAAAGTGTTGAAAAGCAAAGATGTTACCTTGAAGACTAAGGTGTGCCTGACCAGCCATGGTATTTTCAATCACATTATGTGTATGCGAAAGCTGGACAGTGAATAAGGAAGGCCGAAGAAGAACTGACCCTTTGAATTGTGGTGTTGGCAAAGAATATTGAATATACCACAGACTGCCAACGGAATGAACAAATCTGTCTTGGAAGAAGTATAGCCAGAATTCTCCAATTGCAAGATTTCATCTTACATTCTTTGGACATGTTATCAGGAGAGACCAGTCCCTGGAGAATGACATTATGGTTGGTAAAGTAGAGGGTCAGCGAAAGAGTGGAAGACCCTCGATGAGACGGACTGACACACTGGCTTCGACAATGGGCTCAAGCATAAAAATGGTTGTCAGGATGGCACAGGACCGGGCAGTGTTTCATTCTGTTGTACATGAGGTCTCTATGAATTGGAATCACCTGGACAGCACCTAACAACAATAGTTGTTTGAAATATCATAAAGGGAAAAGGGGCTCAAATTTACATTAGAAGCTTTTTTCATACTTTTGAATTTTGATCTGTAGTAGGTGATTTAAACCCCCTTTCTACAGTGTTTCTAAACTTCACCCTAATCAGTTCTGGAATGTATACAGAAACAACTGGGTATTTTTCACACAATTCGGTTGTAGTGAAATAATTGTGATTCATAATTATTTAGTAATATCTAATTTTGATAAATATTCCTAGGACATTGTCTTAGGCTGGTTTCTCTACGGAAGCAAAATCAGTATAGCATATAAATCAATAGAGAGATTTATATTAAGGAAATGGCTCACGTGGTTGTAGAGGCTGGAATGTCCCAAGTTCATGGGTCAGGCTGGAGGCTTCTCCTGATTCACATAGCCCCAGGGGCTGGTGAACCCAAGGTCAGCAAGTCAGACTGCAGGGCTCTGGTTTACAGGCTTCGAAGACTGATGAATCCCAAGATCAGCAGGCAAGACTGCAGGTAAGCTGCTAGCTCAAGTTCCAAGAATAGGAGGTCAGATGAACAGAAGCCAGCTGCAGGATCCAGAGTGAGCAAAAGCCCACAAGCCTTGCCAGGAAGTTCACCTATATTGGATGTAGGCATCATCCCCAAGGAAACTCCCTTACAACTAACTGCCTACTCACAGAAGATCCCATCATGGAGGTGATCACATTATATCGAATCTCATAACAGAGGTGATCACATCATTAAAGGACTGCCAAATGATGTCATAACTGCCAAACCACTGAGAGTCATGGCCCAGCCAAGTTGACATACAACCTTAATGATTACAGACATATTTTTCTTTGAATGAATCTGGGATTGAGGTGTTGAGTTGCAGAAATAAATGCTTTTATTTCATTTCAAGTAGGCTTTCAATAATTCAGCCAATGTAGAGGATTTTTGTTGTTGTTATTGGTTGCATTTTTTATGATAAGGCTAAGAAGATTACAGTTGTTGTTATGAATTGATTCCACAAATTAAAGTGGTATAATACTTAAAAAGAAGAGAGGGAGGGAAGGAGGATGGAAAAAGGAAGGAGGACTAAAAAAATTTAACACTAAAATTTCAGGTGATTTCAATAAAACCAGAAAGAAGCAGTCATAAAGAAATGAAAAACATTAAAATATACTAAAGATTTTGTCTTGGTTAGGGGCTGTTTACCAAAATATTAGTCATTTGTTTACATTGCTAGAAAAACACTACTTAAATACGCTTATAAAATTTAAAGTTAACCATAAAAAGTCAAAACAAGATGTATAAATTCCAAACCCTAGAGGTTTTGAAAAACATTCTAATATGTTTAAAAAATAAAGAAAAAGAACTAAAGCAGTAAGTATAACAAAGTGAAAAGGTAAACTTAGAAAAATAAACATTTCAGGAATAACTTCATCCATTTAGCAAATGACTAAAGGATGTTTAGAGAGATTAAGTAACTTGCCCACAGTCACTCAGTGAAGAAGCAGGATAATCAGGATTCAAACCCAGACAGTCTTGGTGCTTAATCTTAAGGAGAACATGCTTCTGCTTTCAAAACTAAAACATCACTACCGAACGTTCTGATCACATCCACAATAGATAGATCCTGACAGAAGGGGATGAAAACGTGGAACAGAACTCTAAATTCTCATTAAAAAAATCCAGACTTACTGGACCCATTGAGAATAGCAGAATCTCCAAAAGATAATCTTTAAATCTTGAACTGAAACTATCTTCTCAAGTCACCTTTTAGCTAAATAGCAGGTAAGCTCACAAAGTAAAGAATATTACCCTTGAGTACTGCATTCTTTTAAAACAATCATCTACATGAGACCAAATGGTCAACAAATACTCTGAAGCATAGATGAGAAGGTAGGGTGGCAGGGAGACTAGGTTAGTGGAAATGGAACAGCTAGAATGGAAATAACAAAAATGTAGACACAATGTGAAGAATGTAACCAATGTCCCTGAATAATATGTGTAGAAATTGTTGAATGGGAAACTATTTTGCTGTGTACACTTTCACCAAAAATACAATAAAATATTTCTTAAAAAAGGAAAAGAAAAAAAACTAAAATGTCAAATAATATGAGCACAAATGAACGATATAAAAAAAGAAGCAAATAGTAGACAGGTTCCAACCCTGCTTATGCCAAATATCTAGAACAGGGACATAACTGAAGGCATTCTGCTGTCTGGAATAGTTTCATCTGGATCCCAGGAGTTTGTGCTAGATTTGGATAATTGTCCACTTAATGTACTTTGACATGAACAATTTATTTGTTCAAGGAACACATATTTACTGAATGACTATTTTGTGTGATTCTCTGTTACAGAGAGTTTGGGTGTACAAGGTGATAGAGAGTATAAACATGACAGAAAATGTTCTTACTCTTAGGGAACATTCTAGAGGGCGTAGTAAGCCAACATAGCAATAACTACAATGCAATCTTTGAAAGTTACTGGCTAGGCACTGAAAATTGAATCTTCAAGGGGGATCCCTCTAAGGACGGGACATTTAATGTGAGACAACAAGGAAATGCCTAGGTGAAGATCTGGGGAGAAGCATCTGAAGCAGAGAATATTCTAGATTTTAGAGTGCTTTCATTCTGATAACCTCCTTTTACCCTAATATGTGATATGTGTTGTTGTTAGCTGCTGTCGAGTCGATTCTGTCTCGTGTGCAGAATGGAACTGCTCCACAGAGTTTTCAAGGTTGTGACTTTTCGGAAGCAGACCACCAGGCCTATTTTCCTAGGCACCTTTTGATGCCAGGTCTATTTCAAACCACCACACTTTTGGTTAGAAGTCGAGTGCTTAACAATTTGCGACAGCAAAGATGGGTATGCCCTCAACACTCTCCAGTCTTCTCAAACAGATCGCAGCACAAATTGTATACCAAATTAAATGCTTGTGAATTAATATGGAAAGTTACCCCAAACATATATCCATGGTTCTTACTTGTGAAAATAACTTACAGCTGCCAAACTTCAGAGGGCATGCATGGGCATCCATGGGAAAGTCTTCAAGTTGCATTGGGCACTCAGCAGAGATGGTCAAGCTGAAAAATAAAAGATGAAAAACCTTTAAATGAGTCATACACTCTGCTATTAAGCAACTGAGCAACGACTGAGTTCCAGAAAGCCATGTTAAGTACTTTATTATTATGTTCTAGAAAGCTACATTGAGTACTTTACTCATTATTTCAATTACTATTTTTACAAAATTGCCAAAACTGTCCCCAGTAAATTATATAGGTTTGAACTGTAGATGAATATGATTTAAAAACAAAGTTTAAATCAAATATACGCAAGATTTCTGTGGTTTGGTGTGTGCACCTATAAGTATATGGCGGTGTTGTTGCTGGTTGCTGTCAAGTTGATTCTAACTCATGGAGATCTCATGTGTTACAGAGCACAACTGCCGCATAGGGTTTTCTTGGCTGTAATCTTAATGAAAACAGATGGCCAGGCCTTTTCTTCCATGGTGTCACTGGATGGGTTTGAACAGCCAACCTTTGGGTTAGCAGTCAAGTGTAAACCATTTGCACCACCTAAAGACTTTTAAATATATTACCATTTGTAAAGCAATTTAAGTTGCCTTTAAAAATAACTTTTTCTTTGTTCCCCAGCACTTACTCATAGTGATCTAAAAAAGTTTCTTTAATAGGACTGACACTATTTTTTAAATATTTTACAAAGTTGAAAATGTAAATATAGGATAAATACAAAGTCCAAATTTTGACCAGAACCTGGCTCTAAGTGTTTGATGGGCTCGTGGCATGAAACTGTGGAGTAGGTGAACTGGTGTTACAATAGAACTTTCTGGTACAAACTGATTTTTTTTTTTAAATCCAAATCTTGTCTTCCAAAGAAGAATATGACCAACCACTACCACTGCCACCAATAATTGCAATAATAATGCTAATAATAGTTAACATTTATAGTGTTTTGCATGCATTAACTCATCTAATCATAACAGCTTGATGAGATACATTACTACCTTTATTCCGGTTTACAAGTGAGGAAAAGGAGGCATGGATACTAAGAATCTGGCCAAGAGTGCATTGCTAAGAAGTGGTGGGGCCAGGACATGGTCCGAGCAGTGGGCTTCCTAGTTGCAGAAACACCAGAAAAGTGTTGTGATGGTTAAGATTGTGTGTCAGCTTGGCTGGGCCACAATTCTCAGTGTTTATATGTGATCACTCCCATGATTGAATCTGCTGTGAGCAGCCAATCAGTTGAAAGGGAGTTTCCTTAGGGGTGTGGCCTGCATTTGAATATAAGCAGACGTTCTGGATCCTGTGGCTGCCTCTTGTTTGCCTGACCTCCAGTTCTTGGGACTTGAGCTCTCAGCTTATCTGCCAATCTTGGAACTCGTAGATCTTCATGGCCTGTGAGTGGAGCCCTGCTCTCCGACCTACTGATCTTGGGTACGCCAGCCCCTGCAGCTACGTGAATCAGGAGAAACTCTGCGGTCTTGCCTGCCAATCTTGAGATTTGTCGATATTCACAGGCTGTGAGCAAGAGCCCTGCCCTCTGACCTGCCGATCTTGGGTTTGCCAGCCCCTGTGGCTACGTGAATCAGGAGGGATGTTCTAGCCTCTACAATCGCGTGCTCTGTTTCTTTGATATAAATCTATATATGTACTTATATGCTTTACTGGTTTTGCTTCTCTAGAGAACCCAGCCTAAGACAAGTGTAGAGAAGAAAATTGCAAATATCTATAATTTCACTTATATTTTCATCTGGTACATTTAAATCTAGATTTTTTTCTACACGTGTATGTATTTTCTTTTCATTCTTGGTATATAAAATTCAGCCTCTAACTCATTTATGCCTAACAATAGAGCACGGGCATTTCTCAAATCACTAAAATATGACCTGATCATGACTTTTAAAGGTTAAATATTTTATTCTAGCATACATATGTAAACATACTAAACCAATTAGCTATTGTTAGATCTGTAGGTTATTTTACATTATAAATACTCTGCAATGGATCTCTTTATGTATTTGTTGCTATTGTTAGGTGCCATCGAGTCGGTTCTGACTCATAGCGACCTCATGTATAACAGAACAAAACACTGCCCAGTCCTGTGACATCCTCATAATCGTTGCTATGCTTGAGTCAATTGTTGCAGCCACTGGGTCAATCCATCTCGTTGAGGGCCTTCCTCTTTTTCTCTGACCTTCTACCAAACACGATGTCCTTATCCAGGGACTGGTCCCTTCTGATAACATGTCCAAAGTACATGAGACAAAGTCTTGCCATCCTCACTTCTTAAGAAGCATTCTGGCTGTACTTCTTCCAAGATAGACTAGTTTGTTCTTCTGACAGTCCATGGCATATTCAATATTCTTTGCTAACACCATAATTTAAAGACATCAATTCTTCTTCGATCTTCCTTATTCATTGTCTAGCCTTCACATACATATGAGGTGACTGAGGTCAGGTGTATCTTAGTTTTCAAAGTGACATTATTGCTTTTTAACACTTTAAAGAGGTCTTTTGCAGCAGATTTTCCCAATGTGCTATGTCATTTGATTTCCTGACTGCTGCCTCTATGGTCATTGATAGTGGATCCAAGTAGAATGAAATCCTTTACAACTTCAATCTTTTCTCCATTTATCATGATGCTGCTTATTCATCCAGTTGTGAGGATTTTTGTTTTCTTTATGTTGAGCTGTAACCCATTCTGAAGGCTGTGGTCTTTGATCTTCATCAGTAAGCGCTTCAAGTCTTCTTCCTTTGAACAAGCAGGGTTGTATCATCTGCATATTGCAGGTAGTTAATGAGTCTTCCTCCAATCCTGATGCCATGTTTGTCATACAGTCCAGCTTCCCAGATTATTTGCTCAGCATACAGATTGAATAAGTATGGTAAAGGACGCAACACTCACACACATCTTTCCTGATTTTAAACCATGCAGTATCCCCTTGTACTGTTCCTACAACTGCCTGTTGGTCTATGTACATGTTCCTCATAAGCACAATTAAGCATTCTAGAATTCCCATTCTTCGCAATTCTATCCATAATTTGTTATGATTCACACAATGGAATGCCTTGTATAGTCAACAAAACACAGGCAGATATCTTTCTAGAATTTTTTGCTTTCAGCCAAGATCCATCTGACATCAGCAATGATAACACTCATTCCATGTCCTCTTCTGAATCCTGTCTAAATTTCTAGCAGTTCCCTGTCAATGTACTGCTACAACCATTTTTGAATTATCTTCAACACAATTTTACTTGCGTGTGATATAGTTGGATAATTTCTGCATTCTGTTGATCATCTTTTTTGGAATGGGCACAAATACAGATCTCTTCCAGTCGGTTGGCCAGGTAGCTGGTTTCCATATTTCTTGGCATAGACGAGTGAGCGATTCCAGAAGACAAAGTGAAGTATTATAATGAAATGTGCAAAGACCTGGAGTTAGAAAACCAAAAGGGACGAACATGCTCGGCATTTCTCAAGCTGAAAGAACTGAAGAAAAAATTCAACCTTGACTTGCAATACTAAAGGACTCTATGGGCAAAATATTGAATGACGCAGGAAGCATCAAAAGAAGATGGAAGGAATACGCAGTCACTGCACCAGAAAGAATTGGTCAACATTCAACCATTTCAGGAGGCAGCATATGATCAAGAACCAATGGTACTGAAAGAAGAAGTCTAAGCTGCACTGAAGGCATTGGCAAAAAACAAGGCGCCAGGAACTGACAGAATACCAACTGAGACATTTCTACAAAAGGATGTAATGCTGGAAGCGCTCACTTCATGCATAAACTATGTAAAAGGCCTATTTTCAATCATGATGAAATGGGTCCAGGGGCCCTGATGGCACAGTGGTTAAAGCATTTAGCTGCTGACTGAAAGGCTCGCGGTTCAAGCCCACCAGCCGCTACACTGGTTGGAGAAAGATGTGGCAATATGCTTTTGTAAAGACTGGAAATACTATAGGGCACCTCTACTCTGTCCCATAGGGTTGCTTTAGGGTTACTATGAGTTGGCATGGACTCGACAGAAGTGAGTTTGGTTTGGTTTTGGTTATGAAATGAATAAGGTAAATGAAGATTTACCAATCAAAATTACGAAAATTAGGACTTAAAAAACACAACCTGTGAGGATGGTATTCTGCCAACACCAAGGAAAACAGTATAGCTTTACATATTTGTTAGTAGACTTAAGCAATGTATTAAGTAAAGCAATAGCAGAATCAGAGCATTTAAATGAGTCAAATACTTTCTAGAGGAAAAAGTCACAATGAGATCAGAAAATCTAGAATTTCCCTAAGAGGCAAAATTTTAGTAAGGAAATAGGAAGTCTAAGCAAACTATAATACTGGGTTGTTGTTGTTTTGGTTAGTTGCCGTGGAGTCGATTCCAACTCACAGTGACCCCATGTGTGTAGAGTCGTTGTAGAGGAAAAACACCACAAAGTTTAGTATAGTAAAAGGAAAGTTTTATTCGGCATATATTCAAAAGGGCAAAAGTGGGAAATGGACAACCACATGCCAGAGCCATGTCTGCTGGAGTCCAAGGAAATATCACAGAACAGACAAAAGCAGGAAAATGGACAAGCATGCTGCTAGAGCCACGTATGCCCGAGTCCAAAGAACATTACAGAATAGGCAAGAATGGGAAAACGGACAAGCATGCTGCCACAGCCATGTCTGCCAGAGTCCAGAGACCACTGCAGAATCATCAGTATATATTAACATTACAAATGGGCAAAACCATTGAAAGCTTAGTCTTTTCACAGATTGGCTAGAAACTGTGATCCTACATTTTGAATTGTCTTTCTTAACAATCATTGGTACAGGTTTCAGTAATGACAGTCAGGAGGGTCTTCATTCATCCAACAAATTTCTATTCACTAAATGCTAACAGAAAAAGACTAGAGTGTTTGATTGGCTTTATGTGAAAGTTTCCCTAAAAGATATTTCCCAAGATTATCTTAATTATTGTCTTTATACCTCAGGGCCCAGTTGATGTGTCCTTGTGAGTCCTCGTGAGCCCAACTCCAGCTGGGTCACATTCTCTATGCTCAAGGACAGG